ATCGATGACGTGGATTTCACTCACTTTCCTTCGTCTTCCAGTTCCCAATTTTTGTTAGTGTTGTTTTAGGTGACCTTACGGGGCCCTAAACAGAAGTCAAACTAGGCCCAAAAACTTAGCATTGGGCCTAAATTTCCGTCACCGTAAACCTTTTACACTCGGAGAACGTTTTCGAGAGAGGGTTTCTATCGATTTTTCATTTCTCTGTGGCCGTGACCGTGACCGTCGCCGCCGTCTAATTGCTCTCCGATCTCTATCTCCGGTAAGTTCTTATTTCCTCAGCTGGGAGATGTGGTTTGATACTGAGATTGGAAGTCTGAGATTTGTGTTACAACTTTCATCAATTGTTTTACCATTTGGTTATGTACGCATTTCGTTTCTGATTGGTTGTTTGATGATCTTGTGGTAGGGTCGGATTATATAATTCCAATCTCGCAGGAAGTGTTGTGACCATGTTTCTTACTCGATTTTTCGGGAGGAGATTCTTGACGGCTGCATCAACGAGATCGGAGTCTACTACTGCAGCAGCAGCTGCTTCGACGATTCGGACGGCCAAAAACCCGCTCGAAGAGTTCTTTGAGTTCGATCGAAGCCAAGACGAAGATAAACCTGTTGTCTACGGTGCGTTCCTATGTCATTTCATTTGGGAGAGTTTATTGATGGATGTTTGTGTCTATCATACTCTGAAATTAGCAAATGTGATGTGTTTTGAAGCTGTATCGTCTGAAATATCTGTTTTCTGCTCTTACAAAGTATTTGGAGGATTTCATTTCTATGCTTATATGCTAGTACAGATGTGTTACCAGCTTTTAGATGCTTAGATTCACATATCAGTCCCTTAGCTACATGTAAAGTGTTTATAGACTGTATAACTGAGTAAAGAAGTAGGAATTCTCTGTGGCTTAGGAAGTTAGGATTGTAATGAAATCTGCTTATCGTTTGTCTGTGGAAACACTGTTGAATGTGCTTATTCTGTAACTAATTGCTTCTAAGCGTTCCAAATAGTTACGGTTCTTTTTGTATACTTTGTTCATATAACTATTGTCCTTCTATGCCATGGAGTATTTGGAAACTGTTTCTTTTGCTAATGGGTTTTAGGAACATTTTGTAATCATTTGGGTATTAGGTCGAGGTTGGAAAGCTTCAGAACTTCGCCTCAAGTCGTGGGACGATCTTCAGAAGCTGTGGTATGTTCTTCTGAAAGAGAAAAACATGTTGATGACTCAGCGTCAGATGCTTCAAGCCCAGAACATGCAGTTTCCAAACCCTGAACGCATTCCAAAGGTAATACAAAGCCGGCTTTAGCTCTCAATTTGATTCTCCCGAAAACATATATACCATGTTCTTCATTACGACGGGAGATTATCATTCATGAATGTCAAATTTGTCTGCGTCTCAATATAGGTGAGGAGATCAATGTGCCGCATAAAGCATGTCCTGACCGAGAGAGCAATTGATGAACCGGATCCCAGAAGATCAGCTGAGATGAAGAGAATGGTAAATGCTATGTGACCCATTACACTTTTAGCTACCAAGCAGTAAACTCGTGCGCGAAGTATTACTTAGTATTCAAGAGGCTCAAGAAGATGGTATTTTATCCTTTGGAACTGGTCCAATGATTATGACCGTTGTGTCTAGCAGTAGAAAATGTTTGTTCGGTAGCTATGCTCATTTCTGTAAACCCATGGTTGGTGTTTCATTCAAGACACATGTTGGCCACAGTTGATTCAGAGCTTTTGTCTTTGAAATCCAACTTCTACTCACATTAATGGGAATAACAACGTTAGAATCCTCCAGTGTTCAATAGAACGAGTTGATTACACATTACGAATCAAAACGCTCTAAAAGCTCAACTTATTTCCACCCTGGTGATTACAGATTACACATTACACATTACGAATCAAAGGTCAGTGTTCATTTTAACTCTAAAGTTTATATTGGTTTACGACACAGGACGAAACGAAACAAAGCAATACTTCTTGAGTCCCATTTGATTACGAAAGAAACGAAGATGTCGAAAATTGAATTAGCAACAAGATCTTATAAACATGTGGTTTATAATATCTTGTTGAATTAGCAACAAGATAGTACCTTGGAAGCATGTGGTCTGGAATTCCAGAGGGATACCGAAACACAGCTTCCTCTCTTGGCTTGTTGTACTCAACCGATGTCCCACGAGAGATAGAATGATCGGTTGGGGCTTGAGAACTGACCCTAATTACCTTCTTTGTAACTCTGCCACCGAGAGTCGTGACCATCTTTACTTTGATTGTAACTTCTCTTGGACAATCTGGAGAAGAATCAGCCAAAGGTGTCAACTTTTACCGATCAGGCGCTGGAACGACAACATCTTAAGCATGCAACAACTTAGAGGCCCCAAGGAAAAGAAAATAGACTGCATCGGAACCTCTTCAAGTAGATTGCTTGGCATTGCACTATCTACTTGATCTGGTCGGAGAGGAATAATAGACTGCATCGGAACCTCTTCAAATCTGCAGATTCGATCATCAATTCCGTCGATGGGATCGTCCGTAACCGGGCTTCAAGCATCAGAGACTCAAACCCTTCTCTCGCTTCTGCTATGCTTCAATTCTGGTTCGCCTCTAGCTTGTCTTGATTAGTCTCTTCATGACTTTGGTCTGGCCTCTCTCCTTCAGCAGATGCTTGGCTGACCTTTACCGTCTCCGTCGTCTGACGTTAATACTTCCACCGATAATCTCTTGGTTTCTTAGGTTTATTTCATGGGTTTCTTTAATTGGGCTTTTGCATTAAAAATATAATTCCGTTTAACATAACTATTGGGCTTCGTCCCATATAACTATGGTCCAATGTTTTAGATAACTATGGGTTTCGTAATGGGTTTTAATGTTTGTATTGGGCCCAAAAAAATTCCGAGGAAAAAACAATCGTGTCGTCTCCATAAACCTTTTTTTCCCCTTGGAAATCGGAGAGGGTTTCAATTGATTTTTCCTTGTGTGTGGCCGTGACCTTTCTCGCCTCACTCTTTGCGCCGGTGACCTTTCTCCGTCAAGTTCACTATCTCCGGTGAGTTCTTACTTCTTTGTATCTCTTTAATCTGAGATACGGTGTGCTGTGTCGTCGGACCGACAACCACCGCCTCCTCTGGGACTGGAGGTCATGTAGAGATAGTTGCTCCTTTTGTCGAACTTTCATCAATTTTAGATTAGCATTTAGGTTTTGTGAATGTTGGATTCTATGAATTAGTAAATTGGTAGACAATATTTGTGAGGACTGAAGAACCAGCTTGAGTTTTTTTGCTAATTAAGTACTCTTTTGGTTGCTTAGAATGATTGGAGAAACACAAAGGTGTGTGTATACGTTTTTGGATATCTCTTTATGGTTTGGTGTATTTCTTGTAGAAATCTGTAGCTCTTTGCCAAATCTTTAGGAATTTGATTGTTTTCTTACTCAGTACTGTGGTTTAGTTTATTTGAGGGGTTCGATTTGGTATTCAAGGGTTAGTTTTTGAACATTTGAGTTAG